TTTGACCGTTGCGTTAAAGTTCTGTCAGGACTGCGTCAAAAACTTCCTACTCTGGCCATTTTTGTAAACGTGCTGTCTACCGAAAGAGTCTATATAAGTCGTATGCTCGAACACCAGCGGACGGGCCTTGCAGCGAGAATTGCGGCTACTGTCTGAAATATTGTCATCCTTCATAGGCAGCGTTCCATTTGGTACCATGGCTATTTAGATGCATAGAAATGTTTTGGGTCTACGTGCAAAACAAGGCTGGTTCGCTAAAGTGTTTGAGGACATCTGCTAGAACTGGGGCCCCGTTCGCCTGGTTTTTTCGATTTTGACTCAGGAGACAGAGGTGGCAGTGGATGTATCAGACGCAAGACGAATACAGTCATTACAGTTTGCAGTTGCTGCATTAACACCTTTGATGCAATCGCGGCAAGTGGGGCAGTCATGCTAAGATCACACCGGTTTGAACATCTGCGATGAGTGTGGGTGTGTCGTTGCAGCTACTGCGTCCTGTACTCTTTGACACACAATGCATCCGCGAATTCTAACTAATACTGTTAAGTTTCTATTTCAGCAGCCTATCACAACATATTGCTACTGGCATCAAGCACGGATATATACCTAAAATTCGACGTAATTGGCATCTACGTCATTTGGATGGCGATGAATTAACGCTTTACGAGGTTTTTCGGCTGTTTGTACAACAGTTTATTGCAAGTGAAGGGTTAAGGGTCTAGCTTTTATTACAAACGGTATATTTGCAGTTAGAATTTGTCGCTGACAACTCAATATTAAATTGGAAAAAAATCCGTCACTAGCAATGAGAGAAGTCATAATTAGACTGAAAAGATTGGAGGCACCAGAATGATGAGGCGAACGCCCTGTGAGGTAACATAAATTATCTTGTACATTCTTAAGGACCAATGGTGCAATATCTACCTCAGGAACACTAAAAGGTCATTCTAGATCACTGCGGTGGACGACGAGATTTATTTCTTTGGCTAGGAAACCACGTTCACAACGGACTAGAGTCAATCCAAGAGGATGATCGTCAAATATAAACTATTGGTTTTCCACGAAAAGAGTAAAGATAGATCTAAATTTACAAGAGACAGAACCCATAAAATTTCTAAATAACATCCTGTGAACAAAGATAAATGTGTACCCGGATGATGCCTAGAGATGACAACGGGAAAGCAATAACTAGTAAGTTGAAGATTGTAGGCATATGCCCGCAAATAGAACCGGCTTTGCTACCTAAGAATCGTTGTTCAATGTGTTTGGAGGAATATAACGCAAGGGATTCTGATTTACTCCTCATAATTCCTGCTGCTGGCTTACTCTTCGTAGGTTTAATGGTAGGGATACTTGCAAATGTCACAAATATCGTCCTGTCACCCTGTGAATCACCAACAGGTTATTTTCCCGTGCAGGAGGTCGTTTTGAAATTGTACAGGTTCTGTTTTTTGTGAAAAGTGATCTAGCTTCACTCCTTTCGTGGCTTACCGCTATGTCCTCTGACCGCATAGTAGTAGCCCTGATCACTGCCTGATCTTTGATAATTTCCTGTGAATTAGTCGAAGCTTTGACTGATCCAAATATTGGTGGGGTTGTCGAAAGGAGAGATAGTCGACTGCAGAAGGTTCTCCAAGTCAGAAGGCAGTAAGACCGACTAGGTAGGACAGTGTACTGTAGGAAAAGGAGCTAACAGAGGGCTCTGCAGAAACTGGCAGCTTACAGTAAACAAGCCAGTCGACGTGTGTCCCTCCTGGGCCTCTGCGCGCAGTTTAAATGATCCTGGGGGCGCCCTCCAGCCAATCAGGAGAGGTACACAGCTCGCGAGAGAAAAGGCAAGACATCAAAACGACCTTGAGACATCACGCGACCGTCACGCCAGCATGGTTCTCGGTCAAGGGCTGAGTGACGTGCCCTATTCTTTTTCGTCATGAGGGAAGTCGAGGGGACAATAGACGCGGACTTCTCAGGATGCCGAAGTGGTAAATTATCCGGGCAAGGGGAGGGGGCAGAACGAAACATACTTTTATGAACAGCGTCGGCGTGGATCCTCCTTGCCCGTGGCCGCGGAAACCTTTTGCCACAAATTTCGCATTCATACGGCAGCAGTCCTGAAGCATAAAGAGCATAAGGTGATTGGGTTGCATCGGTTTACTCTTGACTTACTGCATACTTTCATAAACCA